GCACAAAATGCATGAAGCATGCAGCTCAAACATGCCTCATCTATAATAAATCTATGTTTTGCATTGTGGCATATGCAGAACTTGTTAATATTGCAAGATATGTTGTTAATCACAGAACAAATAACTGGGGAGTTGTTAAAGTAAACCAGAGCCTTTTGAATTCAGTTTGATGTAATATCAAAGGCTTATTAGTCTTTTAGTATCCTCCATTGCTCTGCAGACAAGAAAGCTGAAAACCTTAAGCAAGAAATTCCATCCATCCATCCATCCATCCATCCATCCATCCATCCATCCATCCATCCATCCATCCATCCATCCATCCATCCATCCATCCATCCANATCCATCCATCCATCCATCCATCCATCCATCCATCCATCCATCCATCCATCCATCCATCCATCCATCCATCCATCCATCCATCCATGATTAGGTCCCAAGGTAAACCGATCCTGGCTTTATGACATCAACTGAACCTATACAGTATATATATATTTTTAAACTGCTGCATCATGATCTCCTGCACATGTACATATAGGCAATAGATGAATAGGTTTTACATCTGCACTATTCTTACCCCATAGCCCACTGGCTTAATCATATACGTATGTTTCAAAGTCCTCCTAATAATTACATATCACTATTAGTCTTCTCATCACAGTCATACAGTAAGTGCCTACAGCCCTTATTTACCCACAAGATCTTGTTGATAGACCACTAAATTATCTTAAAAATGCAGGAGACAAAATTATACAAACTCTTATTTTATTTAAAGTTAGGTATGTTTAAAAGAAAAAAAATATCTTAAAAATTCAATATTGAATTAAGCTTTATGTTCTTGGAATAATGTTAATAAATAATGTGACCCCAGGCTTATTAGAGTTAGCTTAACTTCAATTTTTTCAATAATTAATGAAGTACTAAGATTAAATATAGCAATCCTTTATTTTATTTAAATGAAAGGATATAGAGATAACAATATTGGTGATTTGCGAATTAAACACTCTTTAGGAAAGCTTAGAGGTCAGGGACACTGCTGCACCAGATTGTTATTCTGAGTATAGTGTATTTCAGTGTACTTTTGGCTTTGAGCAGGCACCTCATAATGTCATAACATACTTATTGGATGCTACCCTTGATGTTTTAGTATCACTGTTGAATATGCTGTAAATATTGAACTTCAGTACTCTGCAGCAGTGTTCAGCTTTTTTACATTTTCCTTGCAAATAAACACACTTTCATGTAATCTTTCAAAGTAATCAGGGAAATATTTTCCACTTTCTGATGGTTGTTTGACCCTTATCCATCTATTGCCCACCTGTGGTTTAAGACGCAGCAAGGTTTTAGCCAAGGCTGACGGTAATGAAGTTGGATTTTTTTTCTAATGAATTTGACTACTTCTTTTCTCCTGTCTATGTAAGTATTGTGTACAGAAGATGTTTCAGGCATAAAGAATATCTGAATATGGAGTCACATTACCTGATAATTACTTTCTTAGGAGATCTGAACAATAAACAAAGCCAGCATAGAAACAATCCTTTTGATTATGTTTTTGGCAATTTTTCAGCCAATTGCTCTTTGAGTATTGCCTTTATGTTGCTACATTACTGTTTCATCCTGGTCAGATGTTTTATCTTAGAAACTTTTAACTCAAAATAATTAACAAAAAATGGAATTAAAAGCCCTATTTTAGTATTGTTTTTTTTATAAATGTGTTATGGTGTCAATACTACAGATGTCCATCTTTTTTTTTTTAGGAGCCTTGTTATTTCTATAGAATTTGTTGGTTTAAATTGACCTATATTTACCTGAAATGCATGAAGGATCCAATTTTAAAAGTCAAATTGGGGAAGTCTATTAGAGAGTTGCAGGGTAATATAATAATGAAGACCACTTTAAAGGATGTTAAGAGTGTATAACTAACTGAATGCAAAATTTAAAGAAATTAGATACTTCTCACAATGTTTACAGAGCACTGCATTTAATATAAATCAATATTAAGCTGTTTTTTTATCACTACTGTGAATGTTCTAACCAAATAACTAGACACCCATCCTTCTTCTTTAATCCTTTTCTCACATCTTTTTTTAACTTCTATCCAGGTCAGCCATGCAGCAACAGCAGGGCAACCCGAGCGGCCCAGATGTTTCTTCAACCCTGTAGCTCTATTCAAAGTAACAAATGGCCCTGATTCTGTAGTAGATGCAGGGAATTGTTTTATTTGAGTCCTGTTATACCCTGGTGGCTCATTGAAAAACTGTTCACCATGCAGTTATAATTCCCCTTCCATAGGATTTCAAGGACTTGACAAAGTCCCTTTTTTTTTAATCCTGCATACGCTTAATGCTGCACACATGCTTTACATAGGCAGAATATGTTAGGACAGTTAAAATGATTTATTTTACATGCATAAGTTCACAGAAGATATGCAGTTGTTACATATTTTCAAATAAATTAATCAGAATCACAAACTCGTTTTTTTTATGTAGCCTAGGTTTACTTGACTTTTTAAAGAATGTAATCAACCCTCAAATAGGTGCATATCAATTTGTTCTCTATAGGCCCTATAATCCATGGCAAGGTGCTGACTACTGATGGGGAGATATACATCTTATTTTCTAAAGACTAGGTTTTCAGAGGTGTTCATGGTCAGTTAATTGACTCCAAGGAACCTCTCTCCTACGTAATAGCAACTACATTTATCAAACACTTGTTAGAGTATGCATGTCAAAAAAATCACTAATCTTGTAACTCATCCAGATGGAGTTTTCCAACAGATGATTTAAAATGCATTCTGAAAAAGTATGTTAACATGTTTTTCATATAGTGAAGGCACATTTCTCTGGGAGGCCCTCTAAACAATTACACTTTTGGATCTTCTTTCTTATTCTTCAGGCTAAGTGAAAATGAAGAGTCTACTGTCTTTTTGAAGTTATAAGGAAACTTCAAAAAGACTATCAGCTCAGAACACACATTTAACATGCAGAGAGAAATTAATAACACTTTTAGATAAAATAAGCATCCTTAGAAGACACCCCTTGAGAATATAAGGTTGTTCAGAAACAAAATACACTTAGATAAATGTGCATAATTGCACCGTATACTAGCTGAGTATATAATATGGGCTGCTGCTTTTTTACAATCTATGGCAGTATGAAAATGTATATAAGTTAATTCAACACCAGATCCTCACTACATTTAGCTAGATCAAAATATGTCTGTTTGTGTGTGTGTGGGTGGACGTGAGGTGGGGGAACAGACTAGTGACCTGTCTGGGGCGTAATCTGGTGGAGACAGATACCGACACCTCTGTGACCCTGGAGGAATAAGCATGAGAAGATGGAGGGATGGAAGAAGCTTACTTCTGCTTTTCAGATCATCTCCCAACAGTTCTGTTGTGGACAAAAGTAACTCCTGAACACCAATCTATTTTCAATGTGAATGTTTGGATTTGAACAGGTGCCAATGGAAGAGACACCTTACATCTCCAAATTTAGCTCTTGTTGTTTGCATGTTACAGGGATGTTTGATCCTGATCTCTTAGTAATGCGGTAACATTGATTTCTGTGCCAAGGAGTCAAAACAAGGAGTTTTTCAAGCAGCCAAAATATTTTATATATACACCTGTGGAGTCTAACCGATGTATTGCCATGAAAAATAATTCATACATTTTTTCCCACAAATTGGTCCAATTATAATCCACAAAACTATTAAAGAGGTATCAAAACCTGCAATTATCCCTACTAAATCAATACTTTATACATCTGCTATTCAATTGTATAGCTTTTGCAGAGTATCTATTTAAGCAAAGTGCATTCAGAAACAACACTATTTGTCTGTTCTTTGCACAACAGTTCAATCATATGGAACACAAAAGGCCTTTAAATCCCACTTTTATTGCAATAGAGTCTCTGTTAGATTTGGTGTATGATTTGATTGGAACATTCTACCCCTTAAAATGCTTTGATCTAAACCTGTGGTGCTTAGTCATTTTTTTCAGCAACCACTGCATTAGTTTGACTGCTTTACTGACATTACATAAATCAAATGGTGATCAAAATGATTCTGCACCACTTATAAGCTACTGAGGATGTAATGCAAAATTCTGAATCAGGGGTGCTAGTGCAGAGACAAATATGCAACATAACAAAGCAATGGGCGTTGAGTGCAAGGTTTGGGAAAGAATCCAAACAAGTACAATTGGACTCAGGCTGTATAATTAGGGTTGCTCTGCTGGAAAGTGACAATTTTGGCAGACTGCCATGTCTTAGTAGATCTGTCTTAATACTAAACTCTTTCCGTTTTTTGATCATGGATGAGTGTTCTTTGAGAGCAAAGACAAATATGCATACAACTGTATTATCAGAATGATATTATTAATTACAGAGGTCATGATTATTCTCGGAAGCAGTGTTGACTATAGTGGAAAGCGAACTAATGTGAAAAAGACATTTGACAACCAGCAAAATAAAGAGCTTTTTAATAACACTAAAACGACAAGATGATCAGCTGTTGTGGTGATAAATACTATATTAACACCATTCTTTCGGATTCTCAAGCTACTTTTCCTCCTAACACCCTGACAAGCTTTCAGCACCATGGACAGCAACAATAAATCTGCGCTGCTCCTCCGCTGTGGAAACTGCAGTATGAGGAATATTTAATGCTTTTAGAGGAGCTGTCCATGGTGCTGATATCATGATAATGGCCTTGTGTTGATATTATTTGGAATCCAACAATTTCACATTCGCTAAAGACAGAACACATTTTCTAACGAGCCTGACCACCCTTCATACCTCACGTGCTCTTGTTGATTAGTTCAAATGTCTTATTAAAATAAAATATATAGTTTATGTTTTTCTCTTATTTGTCTTCAGGAGTTTTTTTCCCCTCTGTTGTCTCAAATGGAGTGATTTTCCCGTCCTCCACCACGCCCCCCACCCCCACCCTCCCATCGTGCTGAGTGCTCTGTTAGAAGGCGGGTCAGTGTGGGAGAAATCCTGAGGCCCATCAGCAGTTGCGCCGAGTGGAGCGATGCGCGTTTACTGAGCCGGAGAAGAGGAGAGGAGGACCGCTTCCTTTTCACCGCACTCTACTATTACAATCACTGCCTAACAACGAGCATCAACACCTCTTCTTTAAATGATACGAATGGAATTCTGCTTTGGAATTTTCTCTTAATTTTTATATATGTATTTTTTTCTTTCATTTTTTTTAACACTCGGACTTCATTAATCCGGAGTCAAAAACGGTAAGGTAAAAGCAAATCAGCCCTCCTTATGTGTTAGTCTTGTGCTTCTTACAACTTAAACATCTGTATCTATGCATTGGATGTTATATTAAGCTGTGTTTCCTAATACTGAAGTTGGTCTGGATTTTTTTTTCTGCTCGCATATGTGATGGGATTTGGATTGATGGAGTTCAGGCAGAGATGCGGATTTAAGCGCACTAAGAGAGAGCTCTGCTCATAGTTTGAAATCTCTCGCGTACCCTACAGTTTGCTGTTTTGTATGCGAACGCACTGCTTGATGGGCAGAAACATTTCGGCAGATTATCAGACTTATGAAAATGTAATTTCGCTAATAGAGTCGTTTCATGATGAAAGAAGAAAAATGTCGAAACTGAAAGTTTCAGTTGCGCTAATCGTAGCTGCTCTGACATATATGAAGCAGAAATTGGCTCGACTTGATTTAAATTGATTATAAATGGGTTCGATCTACCGAAATTGAAATGTTGAATCTAATATAATAATAAAAAATGCCTTGTGGATGCTGAAATCCTCGAGCGGCAGCCGATCTGCGATAGTGCGAGAAACTGAGGGGTGGTGGGGGGCAAATTGTCGTGATCTATGAAGGGCTCCAGGTTTTTGTCCCGTTAAGTTTTTTATTTCGTGCTTCTACTTGACTTTTACATAGATATGCCCATCTTCTTATAAGCTATTGCACCGTGGTTAAATGACTTCCAATAAATATTATTTTCTCTAGAGTCATATTTATCGTGAAACGACACGAAATCATTATTAGGTTCTCAAAAAGCAGACGTGATGGGATTTCAGGTGGGATAGAACTAGTGGCGTTATTTTCTTAAGAAAAGCTTAGAAGAACTTCCACATATCGCTCATGTTTTAAATATTTGCTTTTATTCCTTTTATTAGGTCATACATTTCCGTTCTTATGCTTAGTGCTTACCGCAGAAGGCTAAAGATGGTTCTCATGCCAAAAAGGCATTGTGTTTCCCCACACAGAATAAATATTTAATATATCATAAGCTGTACTTAGATGAGTCCGGTCAGGATCTTTACAGCTTTTATCAGTTCAACTAGATAATTTAGACCTAGGGAAGAAGCTTATGTGTACGAAGTATGTCTTACAAAGTATTTTTCGGTTGCCGTCACCATATGACTTGTACGTAGATTTCATTATGTGCATCCAAACTGGTCTCCTGTTTGCATCAATATTTGAGACTTTTATTTTGATAATATGAAGGAAGTAGTTGTTGGGCTGATCAGTGGCGCAGTGAGTAGCACTGCTTTGCAGCAAGAAGGTTTCTGGTTGAATTCCTGGCTTCCTGCATGGAGTTTGCATGTTCTCCCTGAATAGGCGTGGGTTCTCTCTGGGTACTCCGGCTTCCTGCCACAGTCCAAAATATGACTGATAGGTTAACTGGATTCTCTAAATTCTCCTTAGGTGTGAGTGTGTGCCGAATGGTTGTTTGTCCAGTTTGTCTCCGTGTTGCCCTGTCCCAGGGTGTACCCTGCCTCTCGCCCAAAGACAGCTGGAGATAGGGACCAGCACCCCTCATGACAGAAAATGGATGGATGGATAGTTAGTTGTTAACTCTCCCTAGAGTGTCTGAATTAATTACACAAGTATTTAAATCCTGCTTAATTGCGTTAAATGCCAGTTTCCCAATAGTAGCTATATACCAATGGTAGAGTTTGCGTTTGCCCACACTTGACATTAAAATAGAGTCTAAACACTGTTGACATATTACAGGGTTTTTTTTGCGTGTTTTTATTATGGATTGATGAAAGATTCGAAACAAGTAAAATGAGAAAAAACAAAGCAAATGGACTCTATTAAGATCATTTAAAGCTTACTTTTAAATCCATGAATCCTTTTTTTTATATGTGAATAAGATCATGAAAATGACAAGAACTATACAATCTAGTGAAATCCAAACAAAATTATTCAACACTAACTATACAGTTAGAACAGTTTATGATTTTTGACATAAAAATAGCAATACACTGCTAACATTGTATATTATCATTAAAAACGTATGGATCACGTTTCTACAAGTAGGTGTATCATTACTTTGCAAAAAAAATTCTTCGCTTTGGAGTTCTTTACATGGATCTGAATATGTATAGGAAAATAGATGGAGATATATAAAGAGAAAGATTACAGGAAAAAAAAAAAAAAAAAAAAACAACCAAAAAAAAACAAAAACCCAAAGTGGTGTAACATTGAAGGGCCAGATTCTTCTCTCCTTACTCTGCTAAAACGCAAATTTTAACCTATGCAGTTCGATTAATCTTTAATGAGTGTGCACATTCTTGTTTTGTGTGACCAGTTCACTAACAGGTTCGAACCTATGTCACACATGTGTCTGCTGTGACTGATGTCAGATTAAATTGTTGCTGCAGGCTGAAGCTTGTGATAGACAGGAATCTCAACAAGAAACAGAAGGAGAAGTATGAGCATGCACAGGGGTTGGTCTCCTGTGCATTGCAGGGGACCCGGCTGTATTACAAAACATGTCAATAAATCTGCTGCAGTGCCAATGTATCATTTATTGCCACTCTGTGACTATATTCATGTAGGTCATCTCATACACTTGTTAATAATTAAATGTGTATATCCAGTAAAATCTGTTATTATTCTAGCAGAGTGACAGGACAAACTGCCAACCATCAATGGGAATTGGGTTTTACAAAAAAGGGCAGCAATATCAATACATTGAGATTTTTTTTCTTCTTTCTTATCTTTTTTTTTATTTTTTTTTTTACCAAAAATAAAACTAGAGAAAGGGGGGAAAAAATACATTTCTCTCTAATCGGAAATATGTTTCGCCTCTTAAAAATATCTACATATATCCCAACAATGTCGGCCTTTGCAGTAATGAGGTTAGCTAAAGGTTTTGTTTCATAATAACTCTTTAAGAGTAAGTGTCAGTAAAATATCTCATGTTAAGTTGGCTTGTAGACCACATTAGACATTCCATTTGTGGCATTACAGCAGCAGTACATTTCTATTAAGTTTAGGGAATGTTTTTTTTTTTATCATTAAATTTTAAAAAAGTGCCATGCATTTGCACTCATCTTTCTTTATTCTAGCATTCCTAAATTAAACCCATTGTTACAAACTGTTTGAGGAAATCAGCGGATTTGTCAGTAAAGCATTTCTATATATACTCAAGGCTTCAGAAATATTAAGCTTTACTGTCTGGCCTCAAAGGATTGTTAGAGAAGGGTTATGTAAAAAATAGCAGAAGGCAAGCAGCAAAGCACATAGGGCAGGGACAAGGAAAGCGTTAATCAGTAGCCAAAGCTAACCATGGTAGCTCTGGAGGAGCCGCACAGACTGATAACACTGCTAGCTTGATTATGTTGGTAGAATAGCTATTACTGTAATTGGACATTCAAGAATTGGTCCTTTTTTGCAGAGCAGTGACACTGAATTAAATAAAAAAACAAAAGCCTTAATAACAAATCTTCTTCATGATGGAACGTTATTATAGCAAAATTGACAGATATAAAAAAGAGTTATAGCCATATATGTAGCAAAGTTTGGTTTTACAAAGCAATGACTTTGAACAGAATTCCAAATTGTAGTACACATTTTAGATTTAGCAGTAGGAAAAAACCTTATAGCATTTTTCAAGTATGAGCAACTTTGTTTTGGTTTTAAATCCCAGTATTAAATTTTGTAATTTAAAATGCGACAAAATAGAAAAAAATAATCATTATATAAATGATATGAGTTATTATGGTGCTATGCACAAAAAAATAATTTTTCAGGTCTTAAAGTTGGAAGAAGAAAATTATCCACCAGAACATTGGCAATAATAGCATTCTCTTTAAATCAATGGCGTTCAGGTACACCTGATAGCCCAGTCAGGCATTACACACATTGAGTCATGTTAGCTGAAAAAAGGCCTGGCTTGTTAGTATACCCAACTCCCATCTCAGATTTCATATACAGCTTTGCCTATTCACGAAGCCAGGTGCCTAATCTTCCCATCCCTATATACATACTCCATCCATGCTTTATAATTGTATAGGGCTGAACCAACACAGCAGTGTAGAACGTTATTTTTCCAAATAAAACCTTTTAACCTCTGATCCATTCTCTTTTTAGACAAAGACAATCATCCATCTAAGCAACACAGAGTTGTCAGACACAGAGCAGTACTAGGACACATATGCGAGCATACGCAGTGCATTAGCATAGGTATCGGTTACCTGAATTCAATAGCTTGCCTGCTGCAGCAAGATTAACTATTCAGGGCAGGTGGTTAAAGGGCCTATTGTGTTTCTTGGTTCTGTGCTGCTGTCATGATTGGACAATGCATTTGTCTGGATGGCAGCCCACTGCCAAAACAATTGCAAGGGCAAAGGGCTGGAAGAGTACACACATATATAAGGTTTCACCTTGTACATCATTTGTAGCTCTGCTGAGCAAAATTAAACAGAAGTGTACAAGTGGAGTTGTGGCAAGCGAAGGTTGTGCCTTAGTTGTTATTCTTTAACAGTGTACCCTTAGTGACAGAAATAATTTAGATATCTATTTACCAGACGAAACAATTGGATTCAAAGATAAAATGCATCTCCAATCCTTACAACTCTCTGTATCTCTGTATGTGATTGTGATCCCTTAAAAGAATATAAATTAGAGAAATGGTGAGAAAGAGTAGTGGTGGATAATTAGTCATACTAATCAGAATCCCAACAGGCCCTTACAGCAAGCAGCCTAACATTTGATGCTGATCACTCGTTCAGCTTGAGCTCAAAGGATTTCCAGTGGTCATGGAATCAACAGAAGTGGTCTCTGAGATTAATTTGTTTCTTTATCTCAGTCATAGATACGTTATATGAGAAATATGATCTGAGGTCAATCTTAAACTTGGAGAATGTCTTCTGTTGAGCAGAGTGACTGGTGAGATGGCATGGATCTCATGGGTTTTTAAGATTTGTTATTAGTGCATATTTTGATGCTTTTATAGGATGCATAAAAGAATCAGATCATCATTGAATGGGTTTTGCACTTGCTCTTCTTTCTTATCCATAGGGAGGATTTTTACATTCTGTGCCTACTTTTTTCTGCTCAATATGACTTTTATTATTACTATACTCCATTAATTGAGTCAAACCTCAGTGTGTGTATTACAAATGACTGATTTGTTGTATGAATCAAACTCACACACACACACCCACCAAATTAGTTTTGTAAGTTTGAATTGAACATTTATTTTCTGCTGAAAGAACTATATTCATACATCTTTTTTTCCACCACCAGGTCTGTCCAAGGTGTTTTTTTCTAAGCTGAAGACCGAATCATGGGGCATGAAACTTGGTCAGCACTGATTGCTACATGCTTCAATCCAGGAAGCCGTCTCAAAGACCTAAACTTAAATCACCAGATGCGGTTCTGAATCATTGACAGAGCACTCAAAGGATCGCCTACATTGTTACTCTTTCACCTTTTTGCTCTGTTTAGAAAGAGGATATTTTTTTAACATATCATAGACTTGGAGGACGATAATAGAATCCATCTATTGTCATATCTGTTCAACAAAGTAAAAACATATATTTTGCTGTCTTCATAGACAATCTATATGGGATATAACATTCAGTGGGTAAACACTGGAGCTGAATTGTAAACAGATGGTTTTACAACCTTGAGGATATATCCTACATTCCAGCCTTCTTGTGTACACCCTGTCATTTACAATGATGAATCCTAACGGCCTACTTGGACGTTTTCTTATGCTGCTAAGTTCCTTTTTGAGCCTAAGTTTAGGCTTAGAGTTTACTGGTTCTGAAGACCAGTGGGCTCGTTACGTCCGCTGGGACGCAAGCTCTAGAAGTGACCTGACATTTCAGTTCAAGACGTCGCAATCTGAAGGCCTGCTGCTCTACTTCGATGATGGTGGATACTGCGACTTCCTGCTGCTTGCCTTGTCTGAGGGAAAGCTACAGCTCCATGTCAGCATTGACTGCGCTGAGACCACCATCACCTCTGACAAGCTGGTCAATGACAGCCGCTGGCACTTTGCTGCCATCAACAGGGAGAACTTGTGGACCAGCTTAGCTGTGGACGGTCACACTAAGGCCGGAGAGGTGCGGCCCCAGCGGCAGTTCATGAAGATTATCAGTGACCTCTTTTTGGGTGGGCTTCCAAGGGATATCCGGACTTCTGCCATCACCTTGCCCTCTGTCCGTGACCTTCCACCGTTCCAAGGAATTATCACCAACCTCAGTTATGGGAGTAAGATGCCCACTTTGGTCAACAGCCAGAAAGTCCGGCTGGAGATGATGGGCCTTTGCACAGAAAACCCTTGTGAGAATGGTGGGATCTGCTCACTGGCAGATGGAGAAGTCTACTGTGACTGCGCCAAAACTGGATATGTGGGTCGATACTGCACAGAAGGTAAGAGGGCTGGCTTTGTCTTTGTCTGTGTCAAGCAATATATATTCATTAAGGACTTTGTAAAAAAAAAAAATAGAAGGTTTCCTTTGAATTCAGAGCTGACGTAACACCAGGTTTGTGTTTTTTCCAGGTTCTTAGAAAAAAAGCCTCTTAATATTCAAACATTTTGCATACACTGTTAAACCCATCTCTTATTGTGTGGCTTAGACCTCAAAGTATTTTGCTGAATCATAAATCTCAATAGAAGCTTCAGGAATTAGTCTTAATCTCCATAACTGCATTGCCACTCACCTAATGTGATCTGCTCCACAACCACTATTCATTTATAAAATGCCTTGAAAAATGGTCATTGTTTGCAGCATTGCCTTTACGAATCAGCGTAATTTCTCTCAAGCAAGAGCGACTCTGCGCTTGAAATATTTAATGCAGATCTTGCAAGACTTGAAGTCTGAATATTTCTTTGTGGGCTGTTGCACACAAAGCTAAGCAAATCTCTGTATTTCACGTGGGAGTTAAATTGGAGGTGATGTGCTCAGCATTTCCTCTCCCTTCACAGTTATTACATTTGATGAGGCAGTGGTGGATACACTATTAGCTGATGTGACTAAAATTACAACTCTGGGTTCTTACTCCTGTTTTTTTTCTTTATTAAATGTATTCAGATTTGACAAGGTGCTGGAGGGACCTAAAGGTATAAAGTTTGGTTAAGAAACATTACCTATTTTTGCTCTGCTTCTGGGCTACGGCCATCTCTTCTTAGGGGAATGTAATAAGATGCAACTCTTTGACAATGTTCCATCATATTATATCTGTGTCCTTTTAATGCTTTAAACATAAACACATTTTTCAGTTTGCAGCCTCACTTGTAAAAAGACCAATGTTACTTAGGTTTTTCTCTTATCCCTCTTTTACCTTCTACTACATGTTGGTCCATCACATTTAATCCCTATAAGAGTGACCACGTAAGTTTGTAACTTAAAAAGCAAATCAAGCTAAGTTGTTTGCAGCTAAAAAGCTTAAGGGGTGTAAGTATTTTTACCTTTAGAAAGGGATCTACATTCCAAAAATACAAAAGCAAATCAATAAACACTAATATTGCAGATTTAGTTCCTTTCTATATTCTTATAGATCATAGAGGATCACTTTGTGTTAACAGACCCATGTTGAAAATCCAATAATGGCCCACTTCCTGTGTGTCTGACTCACACTTAAATGGTTCAGAGATGACTTAAAACTCAGGGAAATGCTCACTAAGTGCTTCTGCACTGATTTCAAGCTATTTTGAACTACAACTAATAAAGGGAAGACATACAAAATTATCATTTGTTGAAGATATATTTTGAAAATAAATTTTTCTTAGTTGTGTGAATGTATTTAAGGGTGTTTTGCTTCCTAATATCTCCAACATTTGCTTCTAAAAATGAACCTCTTTTGAGCCTAAATCTTCAGTGCTTGCCTGTGGCATTGGTCAGGACAGCACGCGATGTGCTGGTTGCAGAGCAGCCAAGCGAACTGAGTGGACTTGACCTCTTTTTCGCTTCATCCCATTTGCTCACTGTCTGAGCTGAAGAGTCAATAGAGAAGTAGGTAGGTGGTCCATTTGTCTGAAAGCTGATGGGGAGAACTGTGACATCTTTGTGTAAAAACAATCCAGGATTTTAAGAGGGCATTTCCTACTCAGGCCAAATAATAGCTTAGACAGGGGAAGAGGCTGTCATTTCACTGCCTTGAGGCAGAGGAAGTGTGACGGGTAAATTCAGTAACAGTGTTTTGTAACCTAATTTGTCCCAGGAGGTCAGCTGTGGTGCTTCAACCACAAGCCCACTGTTTCCTCACCCACACACACACCCTCAAACCACCCCTGTTTGTCATTTTGCACTGGTTTGAAAGAGAAAAGGAGAAGAGCCAAGAGCATGCTCATGTTTGATCCAAGTGCTGCTCTTTTCTACCTCCCTATTAACTGATGTGGCTGATTGTTGATTATGCAACAGAGATGGGGAACCATAATTAGAGAGATAATGAGAACAGAGATGGCTAATTTGCCTGGAGAATGGCGGCACAAACACCACCGTCAATTTTAGACTGTCTGTTGGCAAATAAGCCACAGTTCTTTTTATTATTATGGCCACATGTCATCAAGTGGCAAAGTACTTGTTGTTCAAGCATTGCTTGAGTGAATAAAGCATTTTCAGGGGGCAATTTAGAGTAACAACACTCTAAAAAATTTTTTGAAGCAGCATATGACCAACTGCTTAGCCCACCTGTCTTTGTTGGTATACTGTGAGTGCACCATGCATTAATGAGCAACAATAGCAATCTGTCAAACCTGTGAATATTTATGCGCTTTATTATCACACAGTGTGGTCTAAGGTTTTGCGAGCCTGTGCTCAAACACAATTGTACTCAGTGGTGTGCGTGCAATCACATGCATTAACGCGGACAAGGCCCTCTAGCTACTTGTTAAAGCAGCCAGATGGCTGACTGACTGAGCGGACTGGGCCTTGAAAGCATTTTGCCAGCCTTGTTCCTAATAGTAGCCCACCGGCCTGGCAGAAATATGAGAGGGGTGAGCAGATTTAACATCAGAGAAGAACAATGTGAAAATTGGGGGAAAGGGAAGCCTGTTTGTGCTGCTTGGCTTGCATAAACTTTCTGACCCACTTTGCCAGTGTTTGAGACAGAGAATTTCTATAATAAAGGAATTTTGGAAAATTTCCTTAACCTATTCAACTTGGCCATAGATCTCATCAACTTTCTATCGTTGGCAGACAAATTCCCTGCTCTTATTAATTATTTTGTCTTAATTTCCTAATGGCAACACTCTTCAAAATAAGTATTTCTCATTTTGTTGATTCTTCTGCAGTATGATAAACCAGAACAAAGTAGTGCATAATCTTGAAGTAGAAAAAAATCAATACATGGTTTTCAAATCTTTCTACAAATAGAAAAATATGTGGACTTTTTAAGTTCAGCTCTCTATTCAGGTAACCATAAAAACCTCCAGAAATCAGTAAGTAGACTACATCTAAAGCAAAAGGGTTTGCAAGGAGGTCAATGATGAAAGAATCAGCAAAGAGAACCCCAATAGTGAATAAAACCTAACAGTGATAACAACCTTCCCACTATTAAATATGATTTCTGCACGATCATGCTGTGGGAATGCTTTTCTTAAGAAGAGACTGGAAAGCTGCTTTGAGTTAATGTCGATAGAGCTTAAGCTAATTTGGAATAGTTTAAACCTTCGGTTTGTAAAAAGGATAGAGGACACAAAGTGTTGACTTAAATGGCTGAATACAAATTGAAGCCAATTTTTTTAATTCCACATTAC